GCCACTTGTGCCTGGAGAGGACTACTGGCTAGCCTCCTGCCTTCTGACTACGGCCTCTGTGCTGATAGCTGTATTTTACACTGCAGAAAGGTTTATTTGTGTATATCTGTGTATATCTGTTCGGGACTTTCAGTATGTGAGTAGTGCTACACCAAATAGCTATGCCATGGAGCCTATTTGTGTAACAAAAGACTATGGAAAAGACTTTGGCTCCATGGCGATTGAACTGTATGTATGTGATCTGAGCGCCATTCGGTAATAATGTGCGCTCAGATCTAAGCTATCTGGGGATATGTTGCATGTAGTAATTGTAACATTGTGTAATTGTATGTCTTTTTGTAACCATGTGGTTAATTGAGTCTTGTCTCTGTCCTGGGAGATAATTTGATTACTTCCCAATTATCTCCAGGATACAGAGGAAGGATTGTGATGTCACTGTGGGAGTGTTTTGTTTGTATTGTCTGTGATTGGCTAATATCCAATATGTGGCCCATTGTTCCATCAGGTCCCCTAGGGGAGTGTCCACCAGGTGGACACTTGCATAAATACCGGGCAGGTAGCCCTCAATAAACCAGACCTACTTGCACCTTTCTTGAAGCCTTGGCTCATGCTTGGGGGAAGGGATACCTACACTCTGGGGATTGCTATAATCACTTACTCCCTAGAGTAAGCTCTTGTAAGAGCTTGATTTGTTCCTGCTACACTCTCTGGATTTAGGAGAGGTTCACCCACTGGGAGCTGGATCCTGGTCGTGGATCCAGGGTGGGTGAGAGACGGCAAGAACCTGGCGCAGCTGCATCGCTGGAAGTGGGGTCTGCAGTGCTGATGGTGTCGGTTGGAGTGCTCAGAGTCCCCGGCAAGCGTTAGGAGCATCAATTGGCGGAGGTACTCAGTCGGAGTGCCAGCGGTCCGTCACACAGACCGTCCATATGTGGAGTGTGCCGCTCGTTAACCCTAGTAACCTCTGTTCACACCTCCACCAACCGCAATAAACTGAACATTCCAAGCAGTCGACTGGGTGGCCGCCGTTCGTATGTGCGAACATGTGGCAGCTGCCATCTTTAGTCGGGAACAAAGACAGTGGTATTTGGTCGTCGAGTGCATTAAATAAAATTTTTTTTTCAAAAGTCGGACACTCAACGGCGCGAACACCGCTGGGACTTCCATCCTCTGTTAGGTTCGTGGGGATTCAGATGAACAGAGTGGCGTTCGGGGGGAGCAAACTCCCGAACAAGATACACAGAACAACAAGTTCATGCCTGGTGTTTCGTATTTTTAATACTCCTGAAAGAGACCAACCGCACAGCCTAATTTCATGGAACCTTTTTTGGCAGGAACCTCATGTGCGGTCAGTCTAAACTATACCCCGGTGGAATTTCGGCTGCATTCGTGGGATCTGAGCGCTTTTCGGATATCTTGGGCGCTTAGACCCAGGCTATCCGGGGTACCTTGTGGGGAAATGTATGTTTTGGGGTGATTAATATTG